TTATATATATTATGATACAACGCACATGCTAGCATTGTGAGTCCTTGAAGTACTGAACTAGCCATTTAGGGAGGGATGGGCACAAACTGGGTGACAAGCCAAAATCCAAGTCAAACTATGCACAATTCGAGGCTTGCGTGTCGAGGTTTGTCACCTAGGTGTTCACCAAACAGTTTGATGCCTCAAGTTTGATGCCTCTAGCTAGCACAGGGTCCATTCCATACACTCCTGGAACTGTGCCCAACATCTCCCCTAAAAGCACTTTTGGAGGGGGCATCTTGTTTGGGGGTTCATAACTCAGACCCCTGAAGTCCAAACCACACGTACCTGGTTGGGCATTTTGGGGGGCATGCAGGGGAGGTATGCCACAAGTTTTATGCCTCTAGCTCACACAGGGTCCATTGTATACACTCCTGAACACTCGCATCTGATGTCTTTCCAAAAAGCAATTTCCTAGAGGTACCTTGTTCAATGGCCTGTAACTCGGACCTTCCAAGTCCAATTCACACATAACTTGCAGGGAATGTGGGGAGGCATCCTGAGGAGTTGCATTGCGAGGTGGATGTCTCTAGCTTGCACAGGTTTTATTCTATACACTCCTGAAGCTGCACCTGACATCTTCCCAAAAAGCACTTTCCTGGGGTGTTTTGCTTAGGATTCTATGACTCAGAGCCCCCAAGTCCAATCTTCACCAAACTTGGTGGGCAACTAGAGGAGAGTCAGCTGGAGATGCCCTGTGATTCTGGAGGTTTGGGTCCGTGAACTGGTTCGGGACATGTGTGTGTTTGGTTCATGAACCAAACTGGGGTTTTCTGGTTCGTGCCCATCCCTACCTCTAGATTACATGATATATTACTGTTCCTGAAAAATATATTTAGAGTTCTTCATACATTCAGCTTCTATTTTAGCCCCAAAGAGTTGAGTGTCTTTGGCACTGCACAAAGCAATACAGAATCTTTACCTTTCAGATTGCTTGATACCTTCTTTTCTTTTTGTTTCCAATCAGGCTCAATTACATCAATGGAGCAAAAGTATTTGCCTCCTTTTTACTGGAGATCTCAAAGCTTCACAGTGGCTCCAACCTGATGACTACATCTTGATATAGCAGTGGTAAAACAAGGCTGGGCATCTTTTGTGCTATGTTGCTTTGTCCCAGTATGGTATGCTTTGCCTTCCTCTTTAAATCTTATAAATGTAATATCCCAGGCTAGGCAAAAGTGTTGTGCATCAACATTCATGACTACTGTTTTCGCTGTCTATTCTGCTATTGTACTCCTTTATACACTTAATAGCTCATAAATCTGTATCTGTAATATTACTGGTTTCTATCCTTTGCAAGCCCTTTAAAATGCTGTGTATGAGAATAATGAATTTCTCCTTGGTACTGAACATAATAAAGCAATGATCTTCAGCTTCCTCAAGATTCTCTAGTGTGCTATGGATGAAGAGTCCACGCTTTCTCTCTTTCTGCAACTGTTTGAATTATACTGTTGCCTCTGGCAGACCTTAACATATGTTAGGGCTCTCAGAATACCTATTCTTGGCATTGTAACTTTAAAAGTTGTAGTTGAGTAAGTCCTGCTTAAAATGAACATTGTCATTTGGTTGGTTAGATTAGCTACTTCCACTCAAAGGGAAAGATAATATTATCCCACCTAGCTCTCGCATTTGTTTTCAGTAATGTTTTTAGGTCATGCAGATAGCAGTGATGTTTGGCCTATGTCCATCAGTCTTCCAGGCCAACTCTGCCTCCTCCATCTTCAAATTCCATGGAGTCAGCTATCCTGAAGAAAAGTATAGAATCATAGAATATTAGAGTTGGAAGGTACCTTGCAGGTCATCTAGTCCAACCCCCTGCACTCTGCCGGAGCATAGCCGAAAGATAGTCCTACATACTTACAACATATCTGAAAGATTGTCAGAACCCACAGCCAACAACGAAGTACACACATTCAGGAACAGTAATACTTTTATTGCAGAGCTATAGATGCAGTAACTGTTAAGAATGGGGCGGCCCCATGGGCATAATAGGATATAGGGTATTTGTATGCCCCCCCTCCCAGCACTGGCCAATTAGGCACCCTCCCACGCATGGGATAAAGCTTGGAAACCGGTAGTTAGCTAAAGCTGAGAACCAACACTCTCCCACGGCACCTAGGAATAACTCAGACAATACAACTCCCTCCTGCCCATCTGTATAGATAAGCATTTTGGCGCAAAGCAGAAAAGCACAGAAAGGAATGCGGTAGCAATTAACCTGAAAGGAATGCAGTAGCAATTAACCAGACACATACTGAGCTCCCCAACTTCCATGGCAGCATAGCTGACAAAGATGGTTGTCCAGCCTCTGCTTGAATACATCCAGCGAAGGAGCATCCACCACCTCCCGAGGCAGACTGTTCCACTGCTCAACCACTCTTACAGTTAGGAAGAGGGGTTGAGCAGTGGAACAGTCTGCCTCGGGGAGAGAGAAAAAGACTCTGTATTTGGCAGCAGTGGTAACAAGAGTGCTGCTGTTACCTTTGTTAGATCTTAGTCTGCTTTTAGTAAGCTGTCTTGCAAGTTTCTTAGTCTGACATTGCAAGATGCAAAGATCTTATTTATAGACGACCATGGATACATTTACATTTCCTGGATTGGCCAAGATGAAGGATGAGAACCTAGTAATCTAAGGGCCCATAACAAACTGTGAGAGAGTAGTAGACAATTTGGAAACACCCCTTTCATTCAACAGCAGCTGCAGCAACAATTCTTTAATGTCTGCTGCTGCCTTGTTACCCCTCCAAGATTCCCCTCCAGGCTGACACACTTTCCTTTCCCTCCCTTTAACAGTCTCTTAGCTGCTCTCAATGGACAATCAAGTGACGGCTCAACATGAGTGAAGTGAAAATGGCCCTCTAGGGCAGTGGCCCACTGGGAAATTTTCCTGTAAGCTAAATGGCCAGTCCACTCCTGAAGCTCAACAAGGGGAGTCATCTGAGGGCACTATCCCCTTCTTCCACTTCTCACTTTTGACTGTCGCCACCCACTTCCTCTGTCCAAAGCAGCTAATGTTCCAGAGCAGCCAGTTTGGTGTAGTGGTTAAGAGCGTGGACTCTAATCTGAGAGAACCAGATTTGATTCCCCACTTCTCCACATGCAGCTGCAGGTGTGACCTTGGGTCAACAATAAGTTCTTTCAGGGCTGTTCTCTCAAGGGCAGTTTTCAAGACAGCTCCCTCAGCCCCGCCTACCTCACAGGGTGTCTGTTGTGGAGAGAGGAAGGAAAAGGGATTGTAAGCCCCTCTGAGACTTCATCTGGTAGTGAAGGGCGGGGTATAAATCCTCCTCCTTCCTTCCCACCTCATCCCCCAGGTTAGTGTAACAAGCATGTTAAAGGTAAAGGTAAAGGTTCCCTTGCTCGAAAGCCAGTCGAATCTGACTCTAGGGTTGCAGTGCTCATCTCTGTTTCAAAGCCGAAGAGCCAGCGCTGTCCGAAGACGTTTCCGTGGTCATGTGGCCGGCATGACTAATCACCAAGGCGCACAGAACGCTGTTACCTTCCCACTGAAGTGGTACCTATTTATCTACTTGCAATGTCTTGCTTTCGAACTGCTAGGTTGGCAGGAGCTGGAACTAGAGACAGGAGCTCACTCCATCATGCGGCAACTCGGGTCTTGAACTGCTGAACTACTGACCTTCCACAGCCTGCAGTTCAGCGTCTTAACCACTTGAGCCACCGCAGCTCAAGCATGTTAGGACTTCTCAAACTGTTAGAAGAAGGGGGCTTGTGATAGTTTGAGAGTGACTGCTGATCATGCACAGCTTGCCACACTGTGTTTAAAGATCCCTGGGGAATGAGGGGGGAAGGAGCATGAGGTGCTCTAACTTGGGGGTGGAGGCACCAGCATCAAAAGCAAAGGGGAAGGAGTCAAGCAGTTGTGGCAGCAGGGGCTGGGGCTCCCCAGAATCTGCCTCACCTCCTTATAGAGCCACTTGTCTGGGGCCTTTTCAGTCTTCATCAAGACTTTTGTTAAGGGTTTTTGTCATTCAGTTGCTTTACGAAGTCCTACTTTTCTGCATATATGGGGGGGGGGCAGTGTGTGTCTGTTCTCAAGTATTATTTATTTGTTTGTTTGTTTGTTTATTTCACTTTTACCCCGCCCTCCCCACCAGGCGGGCTCAGGGCGGCTTCCAAAAACTGATAAGCAGTATACATTTTACAGTTATAGAATAAAATACATCATTTAAAAACAAAAACAAGTCAATATAAAACATTCACTCAATGGCGATAAAAATAAAGTGCAGTTTAGGGACACGTTCAGTGGTGCCACCGCGCTAGGTCGTGTTGGATCGGAGTTCACACAGGTCGCTGCTGGTAGGATGTCGCTCCTAGCGGAACGCCTGCCTAAAAAGTTCTGTTTTCACAGCCCTGCGGAACTGTGACAAGTCCCACAGGGCCCTGATCTCGGCAGGAAGCTCGTTCCAATAGGATGGAGCTACAAACGAAAAAGCCCTAGTCCTGGTTGCCATCAACCTGACTTCCTTTGGGCCAGGGAGGTCCAGGCAGTTTTGGGATCCTGATCGCAGTGCTCTCTGGGAAACATACAAGGAAAGGCGGTCCCTCAGGTAGGCCGGTCCCTGACCATAAAGGGCTTTAAAGGTCAAAAACAGCACCTTGAAACGAATCTGGAATGCTATTGGGAGCCAGTGCAGAGTCTTAAGCACAGGCTGGATGTGCTCCCACCTGGGGAAACCCACCAAACGCCTGGCCGCTGCATTCTGCACCAGCTGCAGCTTCCGGAGTTGCACCAAGGGTAGCCCCATGTAGAGAGCATTGCAGTAGTCCAACCTCGAGGTGACCATAGCATGGATCACTGCGGCCATATCATTGCGTTCGAGGAAGGGAACCAACTGCCTAATCAGCCGAAGATGGTAAAAGGCTGCCTTGGCAGTGGCTGCTACCTGGGCCTCCATTGTTAAGGAAGCATCCAGGAGCACTCCCAAACTCCTGACCCTTGGAGCTGGCACCAGCGGTGCCCCACAGAAGGCTGGGAGTGGGATCCCTACCCCCATACCACTCCGATTCAGGCACAGGACCTCCGTCTTCGTAGGATTCAATTTCAATCGACTCAGTCTAAGCCATCCAGCCACGTCCTTCAACGCCCGGTCCAGATCTTCCGGGGTAGAGTCAGACTGACCGCCCAACATCAGATAGAGCTGGGTGTCATCCGCATATTGGTGACAGCGCAGCCCATGCCTCCGGGCAATCTGGGCAAGGGGGCGCATATAGATGGCAGTACCATATTGGGGGGGGGCAGTGTGTGTGTGTTCTCAAGTACCATGGATGCCTGCCTTGTTGTGCTGCTTTTATCATCCAGACGGGCCAGCTAATTCACTATAACGAGGTCACCATGTTAATTTTTGAACCTTGACCACCTCTTCTGAAAAGGTTATCCAAGGGTCCTGGAGAGCTCTGAAGTGCTCTCAAATGACTGTCATCTTATTATGAGTTGTTACAGTAGTTTAACCATTAATACGTGACATGTTGTGGGGTTTGCCTGTAAAGAATGGTAGAGGCCAGAATCACTTTCAGGAGACCTGAACTGGATAGCTCAGGCGAGCCTGATCTCATCAGATCTTGGAAGCTAAGCAGGGTCGGCCCTCCAAGGAGTACCAGGGCCATGACGGCGAGCCAGGCAATGGAAACTACCTCTGAACATCTCTCGCCTTGAAAACCCTACGGTGTTGCCATAAGTCAGCTGTGACTTGATGGCACTTTCCACCACCACCACCAATTCTTCAGGGTGGTGGAGGAAAGAAATGCTGGCTCTTGGTTTTATATATACAATTTTACATGTGTGCTTACAGGTATGAGGTACCAGAGCACTATGGGTGGTTTTGTGAGACCAGCTGATTAATACAATCATGTTACTGGCACTAGGTGAGGCCAATAGCTTCATCAAATGCTATTTATCCCTGAATAGTAATTTACTTTGTGAAACTGGAATTATCTGGTTCAGGCATTATTGATTATTATCGCCCACACAAGCAGGCTAGGGCTGAGGACTCCATGCTAGGTCTGGGTTACTCCATGAATTATTGAACTAGTTTGTGTTAAGTGCAACTAAGTGTGCATTCTTGCACAAGAACATACAAAATGCTTGCATTATCTTGCTGAAACATCTAGCGTCAAGTATTCTTTGCCAGAAAGAGTTGTGTAGCCCACAAGAAATAGGCCATGGGATGTACCAGCTTAAATAAGGAGCTGTGATTGAAATGTCTGCACCCCCAAAGTAACTTTTGAACTATCTATTGACTGAATGGAATGTGCCTGGAACACAAAATATTCTAACTGG